TATTGTGATTGCGCCCCTCCTACCGTCTCATTGTGGCTTCTCCTTTGTCTTTGTATGTGGGGTATCTTTTTTGGTGAGTTCCAGCGTCTTCCTGTCGATGATTGTTCAGCAGTTAGTTGTGATTCTGGTGCTCTCACCAGAGGGAGTACATTCACTTTCTTTGTTCAGTCAAATGGAAAATGACATCAGTATAAGGAACATCACTTTATTTATTGGCCAACAGATACTATATATGATTCTATATAAGTATTAATTATAAACTTGGAAAGTATTACCCTAAAAGAATATGAAAATATAATATTTTATCAATCACTAATGTAATATTGGTATTAATAAAACATTTTAAATTCAAAATTAAGTTTCTATTAATATTTTAGTAGTACTACATATTTATTATATTTATAAAATAGATTTTATTATTAGAGAATTAATAATTATTTCATAACCCAATATCAATATTATAAGCCCAGATGATATAATGTTAAGAAAATTGAAATTTACTGTATGTTTACCATTAGAACATTAAATTATAATTCATGTTTAACTTTTGTTAATTATTTACTCATTAAAATTATAATTATTATATCATTTAAATCTACCCTTCTATTCTTCTAATGCTTTAACATCATTCTGGTTTTCCAAGCTCTTCATGCTACTTTCCTCTTGACTCCCAGACTTGATAAAAATCAACATACCACTGAATTCTGCTGTTCTAAAATCTGAGGCCTCTTGCTGTCTGGGTGCTTCAGGAAGACATGTAAGTAGGTTTTAATATATTAATTATATTTTATTCAAAAAATTATTACTTTTAAAAATTGAAGTATAGTTGATTTACGATGTTGTGTTAGTTTCAGGTGTGCAGCACAGTGATTCAGTTTTATATATATATTTTATATATGTAAATGTAGAGAATGAGAATGTAGATGTTCATCAGGGTTACAGTAGGTTATATACATTTTATATATATATTATATATATATATTTTCAGATTGTTTTCCCTTATAGGTTATTGCAAAATACTGAGTATAGTTCCCTGTGCTATGCAGTAGGTCCTTGTTGGTTACCCATTTTATATATAGGAATGTGTATATGTTAATACCAAACTCCTAATTTATCCTTCCGTATATTTTATTTCTAACATTCAAATTAAGAAGTTCAAATAAAGTGTGAAATCCCCAAGAATAGAGACTTTAATACAATGAAACTGAGTACACGTGAAATATATTTCTTCTTATTCAGTCCTGGGGTCCTTTTCAGAACTGTTTCATATGCATATAATCATGGCACACTAACAACATTTTCCCAGGAATAAATTGGTTAAGCTGCCATGGCTGGGATGCTAATGACCTGGGAGACAATTTCAGATCCTTGGGTAATATTACTTTAGGCTAAAACCTAGAAAACTTGACATATGTAGCCAAAACCTTCGTAATGGTATTTAGACCTTAAGATTTCCTTTACTACCAACTTTCATGTCAGATCACATATTCTTATCTCTAACCTTGCATTCATTATAGCACACACTTCACATTGAGAAATAATCAAGTGTAGCACTTTCTTAATATTCCTAAGGATATAACACATTATGTATATGAATATGAATATAGATGCATGTATATTTATTTACAGAACACTTATATATCCTGATAATATTCTTCTGTTATTTTGTCTAAGAAAAATACCACTTGCCTTTCTGAAACCTGATGTGTCCTAAATATTCTATCAGTTGGAAGGAATACAAAACAAATAGTCTATCCAAATAATCAACCTTCGATTCTAAACTCTCTCCTCTTTTCTAATTTATTTTTCTTAATTATTCACACATCTTCCATTTTACTGAGGAAGTACAAAAGTGTCATTAAAGAGAAGTCTGTCTGGAGAATTCCCTGGCAGTCCAGTGATTAGGACTCAGTGCTTCCACTGCCATGGCACGTTCAGTCTCCAGTCAGGGAACTAAGATCCCATAAGCCGCTCGGCGCGGCCAAAAAAAAAAAAGGCTGTCTCTGAAACTCAGATTCCAGATTTTGTTTTAAGGTTCCATGGTTAGTACAATTATTTATTTAACAGGAAAAAGATTTTTTTTTGTTTTGTTTTTAGAACAAACCATGAAATCATGCTGAATAGCTTTCAGTTTACTATGGAATGTATATTCATTTGCTACATGCCTTTCCCCCACAAGATCCAATTCTAAGACATCCCTAAGTTGGAGTCAACCATAATTCAAAATTCATAAACTTATGCCTATTACATCAAGAGGAATAAAAACCACAGTTATAAGGAAAGACAAAATTGCAAATAGGATAAAAAAGAGAATGGTGGACATAGTGCCCAGAACAGTGTGCTGAGAGACAGATCTTTGCTGGGAGGTAATTTGCCTGGACCCGAGTTGGGCTTGTCCTGGACACCATGAAGTCACCCAGGCACATTTGACATTGAGGGACACTTCAGGTAAATCAATACTCAGCGATGTGTCCAGGGGTCAGATCTCATCTTGGGTCATTTCAGGGGAGCAGAGGGCCAGGGCCAGCCTATATGGGAAATCCGCTTAGGTACGGGCTGCATCAGGAAGCCTCTAGGCAGAGACATCCTAGAACATCACCTAGGATGAAAATGCATCAACTGATGGAGACCCCATATACTTGGGTTAGTTGGGGACATATCTGCCAAACTCAAAAGCATTCATGATTCAATGTGATCAAAGAAAAACTTCAGTTGTATGATCAGGCAAAATGTCATGATACAACTAAAAACTAACAATGCTTCTTTGGCTGTGGGGGGAGGGTGCTTTCTTCGGTCTACTATTCCCACCCCCACCCCAAATAATAACCGTGTGACAAAAAATAATAAATTGTTGACTGAAATAATCAACAAACAATCTATAAAGGGAATAGAAAAGAGTTTTATTTGAGCCAAACTGAGGACTATAATCTGGGAGATACAGATTCCAGAAGCACTTGAATTGTGCTCTGCTGGACTACAGAATGGGGAGGCTTATAAAGGCAAAACTCACAAAACTACATAAGTTGTTTGTCAAGAATTAGGACTGAAGCTGGCAAGAAGTAAGGGTGCTTGTCAAGTAAGGATTGGTTGGAGTCTGAAATAGTTGTGTACTTACAAGTGAAGACCTTGAGACCACAAGGTTGCATCTGGCAGCTGCTAGCAGATACTGTTTTGAGAACGGCTGGTGGTGGCCTTGAATTCATCCAGTTCAGAAATTTCGAGTTCTCAGTGATGCAGGAACTTGTCTGAAACGACATCCATAATGGCCACCTGGCTCTAGTTTGGACACCTGAACCACACTTACTCCATTCTGATTTTTGAATGCATTCTTTTCTTTAATGGTTAAAGCAGATGTACTGTACATGTTCGATGGGCCACAAAACAAGCTACTCTAGTTAGCATAAAGTTCAAGTTAAATCATGTGAAAGACAGAACGACTTCCCCGTACCTCAATATGTGAAAATTTTTTCCATCAAAACCAAATAAGAGACACTTTGAAATTTTATTTTTTAAAGTAGAATTGATAGTAGTCTCACTCGCCCGTGGCCAAGGTCAGAGACATGCACTACTGCATGCTTTATGCTCTTCTCCACAAGACCAGGAAGTGGTCTGTATTCTGTTAATTTGAACAACAAAATACATTTATTCCTAGACTCCACCACCTCATTCAGATCAGCCATTCTGAAGGACCTCAGGTCGTTGGGAAGGGGGCCTGCTATAGCCCAGCTGGTGTAGATGGTTGTCTCTGCCTGTGACATGGATGACCTGGGCACCGACAATGCTGTGAGGTTTGAAGGGCAGCTGGCTGCACACAACCTTGCTTACGTCTCATGGCAGTCTGCAGTGGCGAGTGGAAAATGATCCCGAGAGAGGTAGGGGTTCCCAAGGCCCAGTCATGGCAGGCTGGTCCTCAGCGGGGGCTTGTGCCTCCTGGACCATGTGCCCTTGCTCTGTCCTGGTGGAAGGCAGAGTTCTAAACTGTCTGTGAACATCAGCTCCAACTGTCACTGGGTTGGCCAATCAGTGGCTGAGGATGGAGATGGCCACTGGGAAGTGGGGGAGGGTCGACAGCTTGGCTGAGGTCCTTTCCATTCCCAAGACAAGACTTGGGGTGGCGAGGGAGAGGTGAAGGGTATTAGAACAGAAATGGGAATCAGCGGGCCTAAAAAAATATTTTCATCAACATAATTTGGCCTTGGGCTGGCTGGGTTTGGAGGGTGAAGAATCTCAAGGTTGAATCTGAGTTCAGAGTCCTTCTTATGCATCACAGTGACTCTATTTCACCTACATTCTCATTCACTAAAGTGTGCACCCTGAAAGGCTGGTTCTTAGAGATGTTCATCAGGGTTACGGTGGGTCAGCAGTGGGTGGGGGGCATGGAATAGGGTGGCGTAGGAAAAAAATGGTGAAACTGGGTGAAACCTCCCATTCCATATTGGTAATCTTTGTGCAGAGCTGGATTCTGAGGCTGAAGGACGAAGGTGGCTGAATCCACAGGGCAGGTCTCCTCAATGCTGTTTATACACTAAACACAGGATGGATAGATGGGTACTGAAGGAAGTAAGGCTTGGCCTCTAAAAGTTTTCACAGACTACTTTCTTTTTGAACCAAAAATAACTTAGTTAACTATATTAGTCTTATAACTAGAGTCAATCCAGTTCTTGGGACACAGAAGTAAACATTGTCTTTCAAATCTCTCTAGTCGTCGTAAGACCACTCACGATAAACTCTCACTAGTTACAGGATATTAATAAATATCCATCACCAAAATACTGTCCTTACACAGTCTAGCTATAGAGGAAAAGAAAACAAGGCACTCACCAAATTTACTCCCTAATGAAATCCAGTTTTGAAGCACCATCTTAGAAATTATAATTCTCTCAAGCTTCAACTTGAGCAAATGTACAGTTACTTAGCAACAGTAGTGAAAACAATGGTAAGAAAGTCCAAAATTACATCAAAAGAGAGAAAAAAATGTGTTTCTAGACTAAATAGTACTGACAAAAATATTCTCTCTGTGCTGCCCAGAAAGCAGATAATATGAGGACAAATTACCCGTATAATTCATATTTTATATAATGAACATTTACAAAACTCTACCCTATACGTTATAATCGTATTAATTCTCCATTTGAGATACTGTGTGATCACTTAAATAATAGCAGGAAAGCAAAGAAAAATTATTTCAGAAGAAAGACAAAGTTCTTGCTGTGTTTCTGATTATTTTAGTGGCCTTGTTAACAAGAACAAAGATACTGTCATTATACCACCTACAAATAGAGTGCCAAGAGAACACTTAATTTTGAGACTCATGCTGAGTAATCTATGGTTTTAGAGTACTGAGGATCACGATCCTATCAAGTTCCCACATGGAGCAGTGGGTGTTCTGCAGGTCACCAACGGCTGGAAGTGAGACAGAAACATCTCCACACTCTGAACTTGAAAAGAGGCTCAAACTCAAATGTGGTGACATCACATGGTGCCACAAATTAGTGAATGTGAGTGTTCAGGGCAGCGCAGTGGTGGGGGAATCACTCGCTGACATTTATCTGCTATCATTTTAGAGAAGTCCCCAAATGTTTATTCTAATACTACCTAAGGTATCCACTCACATTTATTTCAATAGTAAGCTTCAAAGGTACAGAAAGTATCTCCTAGGGGACTAGTTGGGATCACATGTGTTAGTGAATTTCCCAACATTTCTCTACCTCTCATGCTGAGCCAGAAATGCCCCCTCCACCCCTGGTATCCCTCACC